TCATTGTATGAGTTGTACTTCTCAAGAGACTTTTTGCATTTTCTTGCATTATACTTGTAATTTGCAAATTAAAATACCTTTGCTAAACAGTATATTCCCATCACTATATGAATTGTACTTCTCCAGAGACTTTTTTTTTTTTGCAATGTTTTACCTCCTACGTTCTGGGCCAGAGGACAAAATTAATTTTGTAAGTTTATATTTGATTTGTAACACATCATACATGTAATGATTAAAAGTTGTATCCAAGTATCAAGTATCAGAAACACATTTTACATTGTTTGGAATTTTATAGATTGTGTGATGCCACTGGAAATACATTACTTTAGGGAAGAGTATGCAACAGTCCTTTTTGGTGCAAAATGTTCATGCACTCAGATCATAAAGATGTGATTAGATTGAGGATTTACATACCTAAATAGAGATCTCTTGTACTTAATGGCATTGAAACTTCAATTAATTTGGGTAAACTTGGGGAACAAGGACCTGTACAACTAGTACACCTATAAGGGTAAGCAAAGTGTGGCATTTTGTAACAAGTGAGAATCTGCAAACAGAAAGGTCACTAGCAAAAGCTTTTCATATGTCCCAAGCTACAGTATGCAACATAATAAAGAAGGATCTCAGTCTGGAAAAAGCAATAACAATATTAAGGTTATTCCCATCCAAATTATACTTATAATTCAAATTATGATAACCCACATGCTTTATGTTGCATTTATTATAATTAAAACTCAGCTGCCATTTATTAGCCTAACTCACTAAATGATGTTTATCCTTTTGTAAATCAGCAGCATCCTCTTCACAGCTAGCAACACCCAAGACTTTAATATCATCTGCAAATTTAAGTAATTTATTGACTATCCTTTCATCTATGTCATTGACATAAATCAAAGAGTGCAAAGGTACTAAGACTGAGCCCTGAGTTACCCCACTTGCAACATTAATCCAGTTTGACTGAACTCCATTTGTAACAACCCTCTGCTTTCTTCCACCCAGCCACTCTTCTATCCAATTTGCTAACTTATCCTCCACACATATAGAGCTAATTTTTTTACAAGCCTTTTATGTGGCACCTTATCAAATGCTTTCTGAATATCCAGATACACCAAATCTACACCCTTACCCTCATCTACATAAGCAGTAACCTTTCCAAAGAATGTTAAAAGATTTGTAAGGCAAGATTTTCCCTTAGTGAAACTACATTGACTATCCAATAAAATTCTAAACTTTGTTAATTGACTTTGCAAAGCACCTTTTAACACTTTCCAAAATTTTTCCCACAACTGATGAAAGAATAATGGTTCTCTAATTACTGGGATAATTTTTATCACCTCCCTTGAAAAGAGGAGTTATATTAGCTAATTTCCAATCCTATGGTACCTGCCCACTATTCAAGGACTGACAAAAAACAATAGCAAGTGGCTCATATATCCAATCTTTAACTTCCATTAAAATCTTAAAATATTATTTGGCCTTATCATTTTTTAAACTTCCAAATTTTTTCTTAACAAGTTCAGAATTAATGCAGTCATCTTGTCTGATCTCGTTTCCATTTATCAACTGATCAAGATGTGGAATACTGCTTAAATCTTTATTAGTAAAAACCTAAGAAAAAGTAAAATTTAATAACCCAGCCATCTCATAATCATCAGATACTAGCCTTCCTTTATCATCCCTCGAGGGTCCTATCCCTATCCTAACATTTTGTTTCTTCTTAATGTATTTAAAGAAATCCTTACTGTTAATTTTTTACATTTTCAGCCAACTTTTCCTCATACATCCTTTTTGATGTCCTAATTTTCTGTTTCACCAACTTTCTTGATCTTCTTTATTCTAAGTCTCCGTCATACCGGTAAATTTAAATTTCTTAACTTTATGATGCTTTTCTTTAATTTTATTTCTTAAACTCTTTGTGAGCCAACCTGGTTTTTTACTTGTAGCTTCCCTTTTCTTTCTATTAGGAATATGTTTACACTGAATATTTAAAAATTTATCTTTAAAAATTTTCCTATCTGATCAGCATTTCCAAATAACTCAGCTTCCCAATTCACAACAGATAACTCTTGTCGCATCCGTTCAGTATAATATAATATGAGGGATATCTCCAACCTCCTTTAGACTGAACCTAACTAGTTTCTTTTAAGTTTTCTTTCACTAAAGTTGTATAGTTATTTACATATTAAACTCAATATAAATTATCATTTCCAATATCAGGTCTCACTCAGCACAGAATTTGAGGATGTTATATTCAAATTAATTTGGAGCCTCAACACACGTACATCACTAAAGTCCATGCCACCTCATATTGTCAGGTCATGCATTATCTAATCACAATCATTTTGAAAATTGGCCTGCAATGTAATTTTCACTGTAAAAGGTTTTGTCATAAAGGCTGTCATGTCTAAAGCACACAACTTCTCTGTGCAGACTTTCCATAATCAATCTAGTGTATAAGGGCTGTGGTTTTCCAGCACATTTCAACAGTCCAATCACAGATATCCACTGACTGATATATCTTCATTGGAAATAGCACGAATATCCATTTC